ATACTAATCATGGTAGAAATAAAAGTCTTATTTTTGCTTTCAGGAAATATTCATGAACGCAATATTTAAAGAAACTAATTTTGGTGAGTTCAGTTTTCTTTATTTTACAATAAAAGTTTTTTTAGATATATTTTTGAACAACAATGCAAATGTTTTTTTTCTTCTTCTTCCTTTTTTTGAAGACAAGACTGCCACCAATAACCTCCACCATCCTTTCGGAGCTCCTCAGGTCGTCCAGTCAGACGCTAACTTCTGTCTGCTGTCCCAATCTGATTACCTGAACGGATACAGCAAAGACCGCCTGATGCCTCTCTGGGTGTCGTACACCATCCAGCCTCTGGTGAGCGCTCAACTCTTAGTTTTCTATCATTTCTAAACTTAGCCGATCGGCCGAGGCAGTCCCAGTTTTATTTCTCCTGTGGTTTGGGTTTGGCAGCACAATGGAGGAGGCTGTTCAGCATCTGAATCCCTTCAGCTGGTTTTCATCTTCTCTGCTGATTCAGGCTCAAAGATGTCGTGTCTTTCTAACTATGTGGTTGAGTTATCATGTAAATCACAGCTTCAGGCGAAGTTGTGTATTCCCATGATTCACACTCCTCCATTATTCTGTCTGAATGATTGAGCAAGTGGATCCAAATTCAGTACGAACAAAATACACCCTGTAGTTTATTCAGCCCTTGTTCATTTTGGTTCAGAAGTACAGTAGCTTGACTTGAATTGTTTATGACTGATTCATTGTGAAACTTACACAATAGACTCATTCCACACCTAATTAGCTTCAAACATTTCCAGCAATAACATCAGTTAAAATGGAGCTTAAGAACTTGGAAGAAAAATATAAATATTCACATTTGACTGTAGGGTACAGAGGGCAGGATTCACTGAGCTGTGACTTGTTGGCAATCAACTAAATAGTCAGTTTTCATGAGTGTTTATGGAAATCAAGCATTTTTCGTCTGATTTTTGTAAATTCTACATCTGTGTTTTGAGGAGCTCTCTTGTGATAGTCTAAAAACCATGATGAGATTAAATAATAATTATTGAAAAAGTGGTTCAAATTTGTTTCTTCATTTTCAAAAGGGTAGTAGCCAACATGGGTTCAAAGTGGTCTGAAGTAGGTACAAGGTGGTCTGAAGTGTGTACAAGGTTATCTGAAGTAGGTACGAGGTGGACTGAAATGGGTACAGGGTGGACTGAAGTGGGTGCAGGGTGGACTGAAGTGGGTACAATGTGGACTAAAGTGGGTACAAGGTGGACTGAAGTAGGTACAAGGTGGACTGAAGTGGGTACAAGGTGGACTGAAGTGGGTACAATGTGGACTAAAGTGGGTACAAGGTGGACTGAAGTAGGTACAAGGTGGACTGAAGTGGGTACAATGTGGACTGAAGTGGGTACAAGGTGGACTGAAGTAGGTACAAGGTGGACTGAAGTGGGTACAAGGTGGACTGAAGTGGGTACAAGGTGGACTGAAGTGGGTACAAGGTAGACTGAAGTGGGTACAAGGTGGACTGAAGTGGGTACAAGGTGGGCTGAAATAGGTACAAGGTAGACTGAAGTGGGTACAAGGTGAGCTGAAATAGGTACAAGGTAGACTGAAGTGGGTACAAGGTGGACTGAAATAGGTACAAGGTAGACTGAAGAGGGTACAAGGTAGACTGAAGAGGGTACAAGGTGAGCTGAAATAGGTACAAGGTAGACTGAAGTAGGTACAAGGTGGGCTGAAATAGGTACAAGGTGGACTGAAGTGGGTACAAGGTGGACTGAAATAGGTACAAGGTAGACTGAAGAGGGTACAAGGTGGACTGAAGAGGGTACAAGGTGGACTGAAGAGGGTACAAGGTGGACTGAAGAGGGTACAAGGTGGACTGAAGTGGGTACAAGGTAGACTGAAGAGGGTACAAGGTGGAATGACGTGGGTACAAGGTAGACTGAAGTGGGTACACGGTAGACTGAAGTGGGTACAAGGTGGACTGAAGACTTTTTCACACAGTTTCCATTTTGGTTTGGTTTTTTATTTTATTTTTTACCTTTTTTTACACAATCAATATTAGATTTGAATAACTTTAGAACCTGATCACTTTTATGTCCTGATCCATGAAACCTTAGAACTGAAAGGACTTTTTCCTGTTCCTGCTCTGATAATTACTGACCCGTGCCCAAGCAGAACCGAGCGGTTTTACATAACGCTCAGAGTTCTGTCCAACACTGACCGGTCCGCTCTCTCAGGTCCGTCGCAGAGACCCGAGTCCGGACGAGTGCGTTCGTGCTGACCTCCGCATCCCGTCTTCAGCCAGCCAGCTGTGTCCTCGCTACAGAGACAACCCACGCCTGACCTTTGGCTTCCTGCACCCCCCCTGTGAGTGTGTAACGGTGTATGAGAGTGTGTGTGTTTGTGTGTGTAAATTTATGAGTCACATTCTGGTGCAACAATATTCGTCCTCTTTAAATGATCCCACACCTGTTTCCTCTACAGTTCTGTATTTCCTCGGTCGAGATATCGACTCTCTCGTCAGCACCAACATGGCGCCGATGTTCCCTGCGTTCAGAAGTGAGTGCTTTTCAGTCTTTTGTTGATATGTTTTGTATTTCCAGGTGAACTCAGACGTGAAAAAGTGAAGTGATTCCTTGGTTAGAAGCTTGAGATGGTGGAGGTGCTGGGCAGCTCAACTTGTTGAACTCTGCAGAGACGGCACTAAATCCTTGTCGAGTTCAAGTCCCGACTTGTGGCCCTGTTTGTGCCTTTTTCTTGTTTTGCCACTGTCAGAGAAATGAAAAGAACCTGAGGGAATCCCGATTTGTTGACAGACTGAAGAAGGATTAATCTGTTTGCTAAACTGGGGAATTCTTATTCTGCTGCAGGAGCTCCTCCAGTTTAAGCCTCTGCTGCTGATTTTCTGAGAGCGAGCTGTAATTATGCACCACTGCTCTGATTCAACTTCTGTAAAACATGATTAAAGGTTTCCTGAACAGAACACCCAGTCCTCCCACAGACCTGCTCGCAGCTCGGACCAGACTGAGCCCGGTCAATAAAACAGAGTTAAATTCAAGATTATGTTTTCACTTATTCATGTAATTCAATGAGTTTGATCTGGACGATCTGTTCGGTGGCTTTTGGTTCAGTTTTTCAAATATAGTTTAACTTTAAAAAAAACTGACTGGGAGTAAAAATCAGCAGATATCTACTGCCCCTTAGTGGCTCATTACTTTCAGTACAAGAGTGAAAAGAAAGTGTTTTTACTCCTAAATCCTCTTTTTTTTCCACCAGATTACGTCTCATTAGTCGTAACATTTTGTTTTAATTTGTGTTTTTTTCCTCAGAGGTCTGGAACCATCTCCACAGAGACGTGCTGTTTGGATTCTCACAGCTGCTGAATGGAATCAACATCATCAGTGGGCCCATCTTTGATAAAGACTTCGATGGAAGAGTTGATCCACTCAGCAAAGTTTCAGGGTAAATCTGCTTCAGTGACTGAATCTGTGTTAATCTGTTCATCATTTAACCTTTAATTAACTGACTGGTTTTTATCTGGGTTGTATAAAGTACCACAAAGTGATACTTGAGTAAAAGTACAAGTACTGTACCAAAAACTTACTTTGATAAAAGTTAAAGTCTCATTTAGGAATATTACTTGAGTAAAAGTCTTAAAGTATCTGATATTTTTTGTACTTAAGTATTAAAAGTAAAAGTATGCTCATTTTAAATATATATACATTTATATACACACTCAGTGACTGGTCACTGAGTGTGTATAGATGTCTGTGTGTATACACTGACAATATTTATGAATGTAGGCATGTATGTATGTATATCTTTATATATGTATGGGTATGTGTATATATTTATATATGCCCTCCATGTATTTATACATTTATTTTTCAGGTGAGCGGACAGATGTTGGGTGTGTGGTCCTGTGTTTTGTTGGTGTATATTTAATATACTTCTAATCGCTATTTCAATCTCTCTAATTACTTCTCTCTGTTAAGTTACTGATGATGAAGAAATAAATAAACTAAATAAACTAATATTTGGTTTCGTTTTCTACTGAAGTGACACAAAAAAAGTATCTGATATTTTTTGTACTTAAGTATTAAAAGTAAAAGTATTGATTTAAAATGAGCAGTTAGATTTTCTGTAAGGACATTTATTAGGAGGTGACCTCCCCAAAAAACTGCAGAAATGACTGTTGTATTAAAATAATTAATTGTTGTTAAATTTAGGATGCACTAGTCCGGCTGTTTC